CGATTCTATGATTATTTATATTTATTTTGTAAGGCCATGGTTGAGAAACCCAAAAGCTTTTAATAAAATCTTTTAGAGCCAATCCTTGCTTAGGAAAATCTGAAGTCTCCTGGAAATGATGTAGAAGTTCTTCATCTGGGTGGATAAAACTCCTTTTTTTGGGGGAGTCAATTTGAGTCAATTCTGCGTCAGGCAGGAGGAATTCACGGGATCAGGGAATGGCAGAATGGTTTGGGTTGGAAAGGACATTAAAGAACATCTCATCCAACTCTCAGAGCTATTAATTCAAGCTGAGTCTGGCTGCTGAGCTCTTGGGGAAGCTGATGCAGCCACAGAGCCTGTTCTGGAACCGGTGTCTCGGCTGGACTGGGAGATAAGGAAAGTCTGAGGTTGTCAAAAGTCCAGAGGGATTTCACACTTAAAAAAAGCGCCTGCAATTGCCACTGGAAACAGTAATTTGGAGCTCAGTGAAAGAAGGAGGGTTAGGAAAACCCACGAGGTGCTTATTTGCATTTATTAGGCACCACCTCGAAATGTTTTGTGAGTCAGAGGGACAAATGAAGTGTGAGGAGCTGCTGAGGAGGGGACCGAGGTGCTCCAGGTCCCGTCCAGCCTGGACACTCCCAGGGATCCGTGGAATCACCACCCTCCCGGAAACAATTCCTTCTGGATATAAATGTATAAATACGCGTCCTGTATACCAACAGGTGAATAAATACGGTGCAGACGAGCTCCCTGAGCCTCTGGGAAATGCCGCTGGGATCACTGGCTTTTATTATTTTGACATTTTAGGGACGTTTTGTGATCAGTTTGAGGAGGAAAGAGAGAGAAGTGGTGACTAAGAGGTCAGAGGTAACAATTGTTCTGAAGGAAAAAAAAAAGGTCAAAGAATAAACAGACCATAAACCTCTTTTACTTTTGGAAATGAAATTTTATTGTTTTGGAGGCTGTCACATGGGTGAAAAGCAGCAGGAATCACTCCCAGCCTTATGGAAAGCAACCTGAGCTGGGTCTTGCCTGCGGAGCAAATTAAACCGAATAGGAGCAAAACCAGGAACCAAATTCTAATAGCAGATGAAGAATTCAAGGATCAAATCAAAAATGCGAATAAAGAGCCATCGATTGAAGCTTTAGGCAGGGAGAGCACCCAAGGCAGGAGCGATCCGGTGCATCCCGGAGCCGGATCCTGCCCTCAGTACTTGGGGTACGACGGTGGCAGCTTGCAGATGTTCTTGGTGACCTGGGGACAGACCGGGGGGCAATAACGCTGCACCGGGGGGCAGCAGGGCTGCACCGGGGGGCAATAACGCTGCACGGGGGGGCAGCAGGGCGTCACGTAGCTGAACTTCTGCACGGGCTGCCTCTGGATGGTGTAGTGGCAGGAGGGCCCCGGCTGGCAGGAGGAGTGGGACTCATGGCACGAGGTCTCGTGGCTGTGGCAGGACCCGCGGGAGCACATGGTGGGGCAGAGCTGGAGGGAAGAGAGGAGCGGTCACAGCGGGCACGAGCTTATAGACATTTGCTCTGGGATTCCCCATTTTCTTCCTAATTTCCAGTGAAATTCGGGGGTGAGAAAGTGGGGTCAGTGTTGTTGGGAGAAGCTTTAATCCCTCACTAAACACAGAACCTTTTATGGGTGGGACTCGATTTCCAGAGAAAAATTGGTCCAAACATCCATTTCCCAAGAGCCCTCCGTCTCCTCCCGCTTGGAAACCTCCCAGTCCCTTTCCCACAAAACCCTGTGGCTTTCCTGTCTGTATTTTCTACCCTTTCTGTAGTTTTGGTATAAAAAGGCTCTGCTTGAAGCCTTTATTGTCATTTCTTTAATAATTTGCCCTTGTGGGTAACAAGAACTTGGTCTCCGGCATGGCCAAGATCCGGCGGTGAGGAGGGAGCATCCAACACTCCAGTTCTACCCAGACTGGTGGGAAAACATCCAATTCCCTAAAGAAACTCCAGGGAAAGAGGAAAATCGGACTCACCCTTCAGCAGTGGGGATGGAGCTGTTTTGGAGCAGAGCAGCGAGTGAAGGGAGCCGGGATTGGAAACCTTTTATACTTTTCCACAGGGTTATCTGGGACACGAGGCATCCCTAATTACAGATCCCAGCCCATTTCTATCCGCTGTGTTCAGCTTCCCGTGTTCTCCCTTTGATGCTCTGTGCTTCTAGCATTGTAATTATTAATAGCTCATTAATTCCTTCACCTCCCTATGAAGGAGATTGGAAGGAATTTCACGTGAAGTGACGCCAGCCCCGGCACCAATGGATCTGCTCGTGGACAGTGTGGAGCGGGCAGAAGAGGTGATTGTGATCCAGAATTCCTCAGGGTCACGTGGATCCACGTGATCCACCTCCATGTGAAAGAAAAATTACTGATGTTAATCCCTGGGGATTGGGTTCAGGGCAGGAATAATCCAGAGGAATTGCCCAATGGGGCAGGATATCTCAATGAGAGATTTGCATTAGCCCAAATCTGTCCTTTAGTGGTAATTCCAAACAATGTGGCCCAGCAAGGACTTCTCCTCCAGGTGCCCACCAAAGCCAAAGGTCACAGGTTCTGCCACCAAACCTGCTCCAGGATGGGTTCCTGTCCATGGGGTCACAGATTCTGCCACCAAACCTGCTCCAGGATGGGTTCCTGCCCATGGGGTCACAGATTCTGCCACCAAACCTGCTCCAGGATGGGTTCCTGTCCATGGGCTGCCACCTCTGTGGATCTCCATCCACCACAACCTGGCCAAGCAAACCCAGGGGCTGTTTTAATCTGTGTTTGTGACGTGGTGTTTGGGGCAGCAGTATCAAATCCCAGGACAGGCTGGTTCGAGGTGAACAGAATCCCAGATTTCCAGAATTGTTGATGTTGGAAAAGATCTCCAAGACCACTGAGCCCAACCTTTGGCCAACCCCCACCTTGTCAAGCAGACCAGGGCACTGAGTGCCACATCCAGGCATTCCTTGGACACCTTCAGGACAGCCCAAGTCCTGCTCACCCTCCCAGAGGTGTTTTGGTTGTTTTCTCTTCTGATTTTACTCAGATTTTATTTTTATTTTAGCTGGGACAAAGTGCCGCTGTTGCTGTCCTGAATGATTTCAGGGATGATGAGACGGGGACGAAGCTCAGGAGAGGCATAAACACAACGATGTGATGTAGGAGACACCTCAGAACCTGGGTTTTCCCAATGCCCGGGTACAAGTCATGCCCGTCTGACCCATCAATTACATCTTCTGGTCCCATAAAAGGCAGGAATGTGTCAACATTGGGAT